ACATTAATTCACATAGTAATTTAAATAATAAAAGATTTAGTTAAAGGTAGTTCGCCGTGATATATGATTTTTTAAAAATTTATTCTTCTAAGATATGTAGTTACAGCTTTATTAAACAGAGCTCTGAAGTTCTGCTGTATGAATTTCGTACAGAAATAAATCATTGAATCAACTTTATGTGACAGCAGAAATCATCCAGTTGAATTTATTACTAATATAATAAACCGTAGAAGTACGTACTTTAAGATAACTGGTAACACCAATGATGTCAAAAATGATATTTAATAAAGTAAACCTTGTTTAATTCTCCATTATCATAATAACATTAGTGAATCTTTACAAAGTTTACTTAACACGTAATATTAATGTACTATATGAAGGTTATGATAAACTTAGTACTGTATTAAGTGACTCTGAACATAATCAGTTGAAAAGGATTTAAAAATTGTCATCTACCTGCGGGAAGTATTACATAGGACATACGAAACACCGCCTTTCAAAGAAGAAATGCCCATCTGCCTAGCTGGAAGAGATGTATGATCGTGATCGAGAGTGAAAATGCTTGGTCGAGGCATCCGAAAAAAGAAACAGCCTGGCTTCCTTCCCTCCTCCGCTCTCCCTCGCGAAGTCAAGTAACAATTCTTCGGGATTGGACAGCAAGTGGCGCAGCAAAGACACGCCCATTCAGTGGTCTCAGTGTATGACATCATTAGAGAAAGACACTGACTGATATGACACTGGCGTCAAGGAAACGTTAATAATCCAATCTTGCGACAACATCAACCGTGACAAATGGCAAAAATTCTACGCAGAATGGATGGGTATTATGCTTCTTCGCCAAGAAACTATTTAATTCTTGCCACAGACCAAAAGCTTGCCTTCTGTGTCTGAACGTACGACCCAGAAGCACCGTTTTTTGCCTGTGAAACATGAACCGAAACGTTGCTACTGGTCAGTTGGGTGATTGACTGAATTTTTGGAGTTGCATATAAACAAACCTGGTTATATGCTGTTTTCTCTGTGATCAAAAACGTATGAACCAAATTCTGATTATTCCATTAGAAGGATAGAATAATCAGAAGGATGTTTTCTTGTTTCATTCAACAATATTTGAAAGTTTCAGATTCTGTTGTTAATGCACTGAAAAGCTGAAAATTCAGCAGGCATAATAGACCATCGGCATTTTGTGATTGCAAGCGAATCAAGGTTGTGATAACCACATAAAAAAGCAACGTTAAATATTCAAGGTGTAAAAATGTCCAGTTTTCAAAAAAATTGTTATTTTAATCAGTTGTATCTCTGAAAATTGATCTTGTGCTATCAGAGACGTTGGACAAATCTCGCAACAAACTGGTATATTTCCGTAGTAACCCTCTTTGTTATTATTATTTGTCTATAGAGTAACATAATGTTACCCAGGTAGTGCTGAATGTGTCAAACGAAACAGAAACGTTTGTAATCGTTTGTATGTCAGTTTCCTCTGCTCTTTCATGATTGGACGTCATTTGTGGTACTATTTTTAATGAAGCCTGTGGCATTTATTTAATTTCTGTTTGTGTAACTACCCGGGAATACCTGGGCTACAACGGCTACAACTGCGGATAGGTGACAACTATAGCGCGTAGTTTCTTATTCCCCCCTTCCACCTAGTTACCAGCATTGGTCTACCTCAGAAGTTTAAAAAACTAATTGTCCGTTCGCGGTTATCCTCCTTTCCTTTCTACCGACTCAGCTATACTGGTATACATTTGACGGATGATACAGAAATGAACCGTACTTTGCTCTACCATTGTTTGCGTTCATCAGTAAGGAACGGAAAAAGGATAAAACCAGATGTGAATGTATGGGTTGAACTTTTCAGTTCAAATCATATTGCTGTTAGGCATACCAAAAATTATCGTGAAAAAATTCCGAGGTACGTTTAAGTGTTTTTGGCTTGTGCCAATAGATAGCTACTTGTTGGAACATTTGGTATTGAAATGGATTGACTGCTACTTGAAAATCACAGCGATGACCAATCAGTTTTCGTCAGGTGTTTCACTTATGTTCTTCTGACTTTGTTATACTATTATTACTGAATGCTCGAAGATTCTGCATGTTTATTTAGTTACTTGACCTGTTCATGTCTTCTGACTGGTCGACGTACCTCGCCGACTTTGGCAAGGAAGATGGGAGGTACATCCGTGTTCAGCCGACGACCGCCGTTTGCGTGCTGGAGAAAGTTTACGAGCACGAGAAGCGAAAAGGAACACTATTTGGTAAATCGAAAGACAAGGACCGCAAGAAACTGCTTGACACAATTTTGAAACAGTTGAAGTCACACGTGAATGGCTCCGGTGCTTCTTAGCAGTTTTTGCGTAAGCCATTTTCTGCCTTTGTCATTATCTATTGTAAATACCCTGCTTTTGTTAGCCAAGGGTTTGACATAGACGCTATTAAAGGGAATTATTCAAGCATTAAGTTGCGTTAGAAAAATGAAAAACTTTCATTAAGAAGTTATTTGTGTCTGCATCTGTGAAAACCATATTAAGCGCGTTTTGAATAAAATAAGCTTGT